TTTTTTTTTTTTTTTTTTGAGGGAGGGAATTTGTTTCTGCATTGTAGGGATTGTTTTTTTTGTCTTTTTTTTTGTCAAGAAAACACTAGTTTCATTAGGGCCCAGTGCCCAAGGCAAACATACAATGTCAAGGAGCTGCAAATTCAGGGGTCGCAAGGTCTCCAATCCTGCTTCCTCAGGTGGAGCCCCTCCCCTGGAGAAAAAACACAGTCTTCCAAAAGAAAATCTACCAACTCGTCAAATACCCATACTAAAAAAACACCAAAAAGCGCAACAACAAAATAGGCAATCACTCATCAGGGCTTTCTACTGATTCCCAGGGTCCAGTTATCCACTCTAACCCTAATGGACTCAATCTCACAAAAGGCAAGTAAACCAATTTATATTTTTGCCTAAAGCGGCAATCCTAAGTCTATTAATTCCGAAAAACATCAATCACCACTGCGACTATGAATGGGAACGAAAAGCCAGCAACAATCAACAGATAAAAACAAACTGATGAAGGTTTTTTCTACTAATTCCCAGGGCCCAGTTACTTACCCTAACCCTAATGAATTCAATCTCACAAAAGACACGTCAACCAATTTATTTTTTGCCTAAAGCGGCAATACAAAGTCTATTAACCTCATAAGATGAAACAAGATATCAAGACCACTCGTCTTCAGCAAGTCAGCTCATAGTTTTCCTTGGCAAGGGAACAAGATGTACGGGAAACCATAATTCCCCTGGCCAAGCGACTCAGCGTACAGGAAAACCAATCCGTGCTAATCAAGGCAGGCCACAGCCGTCTGGATGGAAAAACCTTGGCAGTATCAATGTGTTGTTGAGAAATAAAGCTCTGTATCTGAGACCAGCAGCGCCAATTGCGCCCTGATCTTGGTTGCATATAGCGTATAACAGGAGGGATGCACCAGCGCTCCAAGTCATCCAGTTATCACACGCAACGCGCCATACCCACCGCCAGCAGGCACTCCTTCTCCTCGGGGCATGCCGGACAAGCTCCACATCGGACATCCACAACGCATAGACATGGCCGCTGTGGGCCACTAGAGCCGACAAGGTATGGTGGCCATAGCCTGGGCAAAACCCTAGCTCTAGCGCCAGCAACTTTGGGCACTCAGCGCTAGGCCACTTAGCGTTGGGCCACTGCTAGTGCCTTCCCCAGTGGCGCGTTACCACTGCGTTACTGCAGCGCTAACGCACCATTTTTACGTGCTTTAGGGCGCCGGGCCCGCACGGCCTCAAACCGCGGCACCCTCAGCCACAGGAACCAAGTACAAAAGTGGAATCGTACTACCGGTCGAGATATCCAACCCACCCCTGCAGGGCTGTAGTGTCCAACACACACACACACACACACACACACACACACACACACACACACACACACACACACACCACACACAACACCGCATGGACACGGCAATCCAAGCACGCTCAATTCCAACGGTAGGCGATGACCCACCACCACCGCTACTTAACCCGGTGACGCACATGGGTCTTAGCACCGTCTTACATTGCCTGCCAGTGGGGGTTCCGCATGAGGGACTCAGAGGGAAATTGACTGATTCAAGATGGAGAAAGAGAATGGTTTGGGAGTTGTACAGTAAAAATTTTATGAAGGGGAATAGTTATTGCAGAAATACCCCTTTTCAAACGTTTCATGGGAAATATACCTTCACAATTGCAAATGCACGGAACATGAATATGGAAGAAGCACAAAAATCCAGAATGCGAAATCACACTGAAGTCCAAGTAGTCAAAGCCAGAGCAGATAGCACAATGGAACCGAGTAACCATCCTATTGAGAATGATACAGAAGAATTGTGAGTCAATGTCCAAGCCCAATAGGGCAACACCAACAGCATAACCCAATGTAGCTCTCTCTTATGAATGGCGCCAGGCGCCCTATCTACTCTACAGACTAAGCCTACAACTACAGCAATGAAAGCAACCAGACAACTTGACTACCA